CATTATAAACGAGACTTTTTAATCAAGTTAACAAAGTTTAAAAATTAAAAAACCAACTCATTTTACAAATAAGAGTTAACTCTCTCTCATTAAAAAAAAAATTATTGATTGATCATGGGACATTACATAATCATAGTTATAAAAATCAAAAAATTCATCATAAACGAGACTTTTTAATCAAGTTAACAAAGTTTAAAAATTAAAAAGCCAACTCATTTTACAAATAAGAGTTAACTCTCTCTAATTAAAAAAAAAATTATTGATTGATCATGGGACATTACATAATCATGTTTTAAGCCAATCACGAATATTTATATTTTTTCATATTCTCCACTCACTAGGTCTCGTTTGGGAACATGTTAATTTAGTAATTTTTTGGTTATTTGACTAAAATATGAACTAAAAAAAACTAGTATGTTTGGGATGTTTTTTTGACTTTTTACGAAAAGATGTGCAAAAAGTAGAGAGAAAAGAGAATTTTTGACTTTTTGGTATGAGTTATTGACTTTTTAACTTTTTTTAAGTAACTTTTTAACTTTTTGACTAAATCAGCCTATTGCCAAACGAGACCTAAATATAAAATTATAAAATTTAATTTTTTTATCCATCACAATACCTATAAAACACCAAGTAACGTAACCCTGAACCAAACAACAACTTCTCATTAAAATGTCTACACAAGGGTTGTGTGCAGTGATTGACCGGGGACGGGGACATTTCTGCCATCGGGGATCGGGGACGGGGAGTATGATCCCCGGCCCCGCCCCGGCCCGTTGCCATTCCTAGCAGTGATTGACTACAATGGGCTGGCTCTCGTTTGCAAGATCAGGTACGCGACACCTCTTTTGTTTTTTCTTTTGTACTCTTTATCCATAAATTTTAATTTTTATTTTTATTAGATACATCCACCTTAATTAAAGGGAAATCAAATTTAAAATTCAATTTCTATTAGATACCTCCACCTTAACTAAAGGAAAATTTTCAATTGAGTGAAATTTTTTAAAAAATAATTAAAAATTTAAATTTTTTTTATAATTTATAATTTTAATTATTAATATTTATAAAATTTATCACTGATTTATAATTATTTTTTTTAAATTCTATTGATTTGATATTTTTCCTTAATTAAAAATTACTCACATCACATCTTCAATTTCTCCACTTTGCCGCATCATATATGAACTATTTATGTTCAAGAAAAGTCCTATGTGACAATAACCTTTGAGATATTTTTCTATTTAAGAGTTCGTTTAGAACGTGGGTTGGCTTTTTAATTTTTTGATTTTTTTAGTTTAGAATTAAAAATTTTGATTTGGAAGGACTTTTGGCTTTTTTAACTTTTTTGTGAGAGAACGAATGTAATGGTTATGGGTTGGATGTGATATTTTATCTTATTGTGCTAAAAAACCTATTTTATTTTTTGTGACTATTTTAGCCAAAAAAGCATCCAAACTAACTTCCCAAACTGAGGCTTAGATGAGTGAAAGATATAGTCTTTGTTTGGCATGTTAGACTTTTTAATTTTTTGGCTATTTTAGTCATTAAAAAAAAAACTTTTTAATCCAATAAGACAAAATATCACATCCAAACCATAATTATTTCATTTTTTCTCTCACAAAAGTTTAAAAAGCCAAAAAACCTATTTCAATCGAGACTTTGGCCAAGTTTGGCATCTTCAAAAAAAGTCAAAAAATCAAAAAGTTATTATCTTATTTAAGTCACATTATTTTATTTCAGTCACATCACCTCTCTACCACATTATTTCAAACCCAACCCATACTTCATAAAAAGTCAAAAAGTGCACTTATTTAGAAGATTCCAAACAAACCCTTTATAGCCCTAGGCTAAAATAGCTAAAAAGCTAAAAATTTAAAAAGTCAACCCACATCCCAAACGAACCCATAGTATATTTAGGAGTGTAAAAATGACCCGTGACGCGTGGGCAACCAGGGGTGGGCCTGGTCCGTTTGGGCTCGAGCTCGAGCCCACCCCGGGCCATCATTTTGAAGCCCGACCCGGCCCATCTTCCCGCTAGAGGCCCAATGTTTTGTTTTTAGTGAAAAATAATAAAATTTTGGTAGAAAAAAATAAAAAATCAATTTTTTTTTTGTTCAAGCTTGCCTAAACCCACCCCAAGCCCGAGCCTAGGCCTAGGCCCACTGGCCCGACCTGAGGCTTGAATACCCCCTGAGCCTGGGCCTAATTTTCTATCTCGTAGACCGTTCTAGCCCGAATTTTGATTGGAATTCACGAGATCCGACAAGGGCCGACCCAGGCCAAATTTATACCCCTATGAATATCCATTGCCTAAGGTCCAGCTAGTAAAGCTTGATAATAAAAAATCTCATTCAAAGGTGTTTAGGTTCTTGTTATTTTTCTTTTCTTTTTTTTTATCTGTCTGTTTGCTTGTTTTTTTAATATAATTGCTTCATATGTTATAAAAAAAATAAAACTTTCTAGGGAGAGAGACTGTTTTGTTTGTATTCACTTTGATGGTTTAGACAAATAAGGCCATCTCCTTTTATAGGCTACAAGGATCATAGGATCATTTGAGAAATGTAAAGATGAAAGAGGATTTTATGTCATTCTTGCATCTTCTCAAATATTCTACTCTAGAACATATAAGAATAGTATATACACTTTTAGAATTAATTTCTTATTTTTTTGTAGAACTATGTATAATGTTCTTCTACCAATCTATTGATTGTTTTAGAGAATTCTAAATTCTTTCATTAACCTCAAATCTTGTAGCATTTCCCTAGGAATTTTTGGCAAGACCGGACAATGGGCTAGCTTGGGGTTGCTATAATTGGATTAAATATTAAATGTAGCATAGAAACTGAGTCCCGGTTGATTTTTATAATAATATTTCTTAGCCCAAGTTTATTTTTGAGGAATTTTCTTGATTCATATTAAACTTATAAATTATTTAGTCCTCGTATTTTAAATTATATTATAGTTTATCAAATTGTAATGGTTATAAGCAAGCTTGGGAGTGTTAAAATTGAGTTAAACATTAAGGGTGTGTTTGATTGGACGGACTGGATAATAGGGGATTATAATCCATCAGACTTGAGTTCTGGGACTGTGAATCCCCCGAACTATTTGGTTGGATTGGATATGTATTCTGTATTTGTTTTTTCATGAGATTATATTCTGTGTTTGTTTTTTCATGGGATTAGATGTCTGGAAAAAACTATTTTTAGTGAATCCAACGTTTGGTTGGACGGACTGGATAGGATAAATGAACAAAAAACTATTTTACCATTTTTCAATTGTTTACTAAGTAATAGCAATATTAAACATATCTTTAATATTTTAATTATTTTTAGCAAGATTAAATAAAATTTTATTTTATTTTATTTTTTACACAATTAAATAAATTTATTTTTTTTAAATTAAATAAATAAATAAATAAAATATCAATAAAAATTTATATTATTTTTTTAATTAAAATTTTAAACAAATTTGTTTTTAAAAATAATAATAATTAAACAATGAAATTAAATAAAACATCTATTAACATTTAAATAATGAAATTAAATAAAATATAAACAAAATTTTAAAATAAAACATCAATAAAAAATTGTTTAAAAAAAATAAATAACACATCAATAAAAAGTTAAATAAAATTATTTTATTTTTAAATTGAGACATTTAAATTTTATTGAATCTTACTAAATATAATACATAATTAAATAGTAGATGGTCAAAATGGTCATTTTCCCACCTAATCCCAACAGTAAATAATCTCCCTAAAATTGTTCCACACCCCCCAGGATAATATAATTCCTCATATGGAGGATAAGGAGTCCCACCAAACTCCATGTCCGACGAATTAAAAAAAAACACAAACATCAGATTGGATTTACTGTGCAGATTACAATCCCCTCCCCCCCAATCCCCCAATCAAACACACCCTAAATGTAATATAGAAATTGAGTTGGGTTGACGATTATGCCAGTATTTCTTAGCCCAAGCTTAGTTATTGCAAAATTATGTTGGTTAAGCTCAACTAATGAGTTATTTAATCTATGTATTGATTTATTTTTTTAAATTGGTAGATATATTTTTTAATATTTTTAAAATCAAAAAAAAGAAATATGCATATTTATTAACAAATTTTAAATTTAATTAAGAAATTTATATATTAAAAAAAATCAATAGCCTTGCACTTAATCTAAAAAATTGATTGGTTAGTTAATGAAAATATTTGGTAATGATAAATTTAAACTTTATGTTAAAATTATGTTAAAATTTTCCAAATTATGATGGACATAAACTATTACATGGCATGATATATTTTCATAATTGGACTGGCTTCCCTTCAGTCCGTGATTGGAGTGGAGGGTACTATTGGGCTCGTGGGGCTCACCACGGGTCTCGTTTCAATAATCTGAACCGTTGAATTTATAGAACTCATCGAGTACTTTATACTTGCAAAAAATCACGTTGATCGGATTTTAATTGCTACATGATCAAATCAGTTTTGTATAAAAAAATAGACTGTAAAAAAATAAACGGTTGACAGAAATCTGATCCGATAAGATAGCTATCGATATCCGATTAACATAATTTGTTATAGGCATATAATACTCGACGAGTTCTACACATTGAACAGTTCGAATTATCGAAACGAAACCCGTAGTGAGTCCCACGAACCCAACAGTATTCTCTAGTCCAATCACGAACCGAGGGAAAGACCAACCCTTTCCTAGTTATTATACTTGCTTAATTTTGGCTAGAGTATGGAACTAATTTCAACTCATGACTTGATTCAATGGGAATTGGCAATTTAGATCAAGTATATAAAAATATAAATAAAATAAAGTTGCAACATTTAAGTTGAGTAGGTCATTTTAACTCATTCAAATTATTTCATAATTTTCAATTTTATTTTCAAACTCACCAAGGGTAATATTGTAATTTCATGACTGTAAGTAATTAAGTTTTAATGCAACTCTAAAAAAGAGTTTGATTCAAACATGGACATCAGAATTGTTTAAAGTATCCAATACATATCGTTATTTCTGTTTGGTTTCTATATTTTCCCTCCTGACTCGAGTTCTCTGTTATTGGGTGCCTTAGTTTCTAGGGTTTTGTTTTGTTTTGTTTTTTTCCCTTAGATTTTCCATGGAATCCGAGCATAGAAAGTTGTTCGTAGGAGGAATTTCACAGGAGACTAAGGAAGAGAACTTGAAAGAACACTTCATCAAGTATGGAGAAGTAATAGAATCTGAAATTATCAGAGACAGAACCACGGGTAATGGAAGAGGGTTTGGTTTCGTCACATTGGCTGACCTATCTGTGGTTGCTACAGTCCTTCAAGATGAGCACATCATTCTGGGAAGAAAGGTTACTGTTCTCTACACATTTTTTTTTAATATACATTTTATATTTATTTATAATCGATTTTTTTTTTTTGAAATTTCTTATAAATTGAATGATAATCTTGTAGAAGTTATACCCAGATGGGTTAGCAAAAACCCGTAATTTTTTTATATTGTTTTCCCATTCTTTTTCTGGGTTTTTATTTATTTTTTTGTTTCCCTTCTTGATTAATTTATTATATTTTGATTGCTGATTATAAAGTTATTTATCTGTTCTCTCCATCATTGATGGTTTTGATTGTTTTCTAATTTTTTCATCTGGGCATAACTCTATAATTGATTTTTTCTGCGATACTTTGTTTGGGTTTTTGTGTGTTTTTTTCTTTTCAATTTAAATTTAAAATTTTCTTATATTTGGAGTGATGATTGTATAGGTTGAGGTTAAAGTAGCCAAACCCAAAGATGAGCAGTTGAGTAATAAGAAGATTTTTGTTGGGGGTTTACCACCAAGCTTAACCGGGGAAGAGTTGAAGGAGTATTTTGGGAAGTTTGGTGCGATCACAGATGGAGTCGTAATATGTGACAAGGAAAGTAACAGATCAAGGGGTTTTGGATTTGTAACTTTTGATTCGGAGAATGTTGTGAACAACATTTTGCAAAACAAGTTCTATGAATTGAATGGTAAATCTGTAGAAGTAAAGAAGGCAACCCCTAAGCACAACAGTAGTAGGCATACTTATGTGTATGAAACTAACCATATAGGAAGTATTTACCTGCCAAATTTTCATCATCCGTTTGGATGTATGCCCTCTTATGGATATGCCTATCCGAGTAGTTGTAACCCATTAGGTTGTGGAAATTCTTATCTATATCCCAATGGTTGGGATAATAATGTATATATCCCACATCTACCAATCTTTGCTGAAAATTATGTTGGTCGTAATACTTGTTATGGTGTTGAGAATTACTGTTTTCCAAACGGTGGGATTACAACTGAGGGTAATTTTGATGAAAATATCACTGGTCGAGGAAATGTTCAGACCAATGATGATGGTGAAAATCTTTTGATTCCAGCTGCCAATGGTACTTCTGGTGAAGATGATCTTGAAAATATTGAGATTATAGCTGAGGGTAATTTTGACGAAAATGTTGCCAGTGGAAATGTTCAGACCAATGATGATGCTGAAAATCTTTTGATTCCAGCTGCCAATGGTAATTCTGTGGGGGTTATCCTGTCTCGGACCAATGATGGTGGTGAAAATGACATTCCAAAATCTGTTGTTCCCAACTGTATGATCTTGTCTCAGACTAATGGTGGTGCATTCTTGTCGGAAGAAGATGAAGCTGAACATGACCTTGAACATCAAAAGGGAGCAGATTGCCAATTAACGCCTTGTAATTCTAGCTGACTTCTTTGTATACATCTTCCTTATTCAGGTCAGTACTGAATGTGGTATTTTGAAATTTTGCTTTTAGTTTTTATTTGTTAAATAATTCTAATTTTTATATTAGTGTGTAGTGATTAAAGCATGGTTTGGTTTGGTTTGGTTTGCGTAGTGATTATGTGCTCTTTATCTATTATAAACTATAATACAATTGATGCTGTTTTATTATAGATCTGTATGTAAAATATTCAAAGTTTGTTTTTAATTAAGTGAATTAGGTCATCATTATTAACAAATTGTGTTATATTTAACAATACAAAATAATCTGCAGCAAGCTTGATATATTTTGGTGAAGAATAAATTTATTTTGTTTTTCGTGAACTCACGTGAAAAAAATAAAATTTAAGTATATTATGTGCCATAAATAATTAATCGTCCATATTTACAAGCCCCCAATATGAAAATCACATTTAAGCAAGAGTTTCCATTTGCCAAATTAGGATTCATGTTTCTTACATCTTGAATAGCAACGTGTAAAACATAGTTCGGGAAAAGCAAATTTTTTTTTTTGGATAAATAACCAAACTTTATTAAGAAAGCATCAAGAAGATGCAAGAAATACAAAAGAGGCCCCGAAACCTCAACCAAATTAACAAGTCAAATCCTCTAAAAAATCTACAAAAGCCAACACACCCGGATCTACTAAACCTGTCACCCAACTATACAAAACTATAAGAAGCCGTCTCTCTAACCAAGAAATGGAGTGAGCCACCCCCTGAAACACCCGCCTATTACGCTCCAGCCAAATTAACCACAATAAACAGTGCGACACAAGAAGCCAAGCCTTCCGACGCCACCGCCCTACCCGTCCTCCTGTCCAACTTTGCAGAACTGCGAGCACCGAGTTGAACCCAAACTAAACCAAAAACTGCAATCATAAGCATCCAAAGACGAGAAGAGACGGAACAAAGAATAAGCAAATGGTCAACTGATTCTGCTCCCCTACCACACAAACAGTACCAATTTACCAAAATATGCCCACGACGAATCAAATTATCAATGGTCAAGACACCACCCAAACTTGCTGCCCAAACAAAAAAGGCAACCTTTGAAGGCGAGCTCGACAACCAAACACCTCTCCACGGATAAACCCTAGCAAGATCCTGTGCAAACCCAACCTAAACAAGGCTTCCATAAAAAGAAGACACAGTAAAAATACCTTTGGATCTAGGACAATCCCAAACCAAAGAGTCCTGACCTTCCCTCACCAACTTCGAACCATAATAAAAAATCCAAAAGTTTCACCAACAGATCTTGCTCCCAATCCTGAACATTGCGACGCAACTGCACATTCCACACTGTCGATTGCCCCTCCCCAATCTTGACAGCAGCCACCTACACCTCATAATCAGCAGCAATAGCAAAGATCAAAGGGAATTGAAACTCTAAAGACAAGTCACCACACCACCTATCCCTCCAAAACCAAACTCGATCCCCCACGCCAACTTTCAACTGCACCCTTCTCCAAAAAGCCTCCCGACCTAACCAAATCCCCTTCCACACACCACAACCATGAGAAAGACCCACCGTTCTGGAACACCACTCCCCCCTACCCATACCAAACTTAGCAACCACCACCCTTCTCCAAAGCCGTTCCCTTTCCGCCACAAAACGCCACAACCACTTCCCCAACAACACCAAATTGAACAAGACCAACCTCCGAACCCCCAAACTCCCCTCTCCTGAGGCAGGAAGATTTGATCCCATGATAGTAAATGATAATGAGCACCCTCACCCCCACCACCCCACAAAAAGTTTCGTTGCAGCTGCTCAATCCGCCTTGCTACTGACACCGGGATCACGTGAACAGACATAAAATAAGTCGGAATACTTGCTAAAACACTTTTAATCAATACAAGCCGACCACCCTTTGACAAATACTGCCGCTTCCATCTTGCCAACTGCCGTTGCACCCTATCCACGACCCTGTCCCATACTCGTTTGGCCTTAAAAAAGCCTCCAAAGGCAAGCCCAAATATGTAATAGGCAACGAGACCACTTTACAACCTAAGATAGCGGCCAAAATCGAAACACCGCCTCAAAACACAACAGCACACATCTCAAGTACCCAATATGCTCCTCCTCCGCATCACAGAAAATGAGCGCATCATCTGCATAAAACAAATGAGACACCTCCACCACCCCTGGACCCACCCTGACCTCAAACCCTTTCAACAAATCTTGTTGGACCGCTCTAGGCAACAAATGCCCCAAAGCCTTCATAACCAAGATGAATAACAAAGGAGATGATCATCCTGCCGCAATCCTCGATAAGTCGGAAAGAAACCTTCCGAAGACCCATTAACCAACATCGACATCCGCACAGTAGAAATACAAAACAAAATCCAACGCTGCCATCCATCCCCAAAACCCAGCCTCTCCAACATGTACATCAAAAACTGTCAATTCACATCATCCCCAGTTTCCCTTGACGCAACCGCGAATGCACACACTCATTCGCCACAAGCACCGTGTCCAAAATTTGCCTACCCCCCACAAAAGCATTTTGAGAATCCGAAACCACCGCATCTAGCACTAGCCGCAACCAATTCGCCAAAACCTTAGCTAACAGCTTATACACACTGCCCAAAAGACTAATAGGACGGAAATCTCGAATATCCTCTGCCCCACCGTTTTTTGGAATCAAAGCAAGAAATGTGGCATTAAGGCTCTTCTCAAATTCGCTTGTTTGATGAAACTGGTCGAACATAGCCATCACCTCTGTCTTAACCACCCCCCAACAGTGTTGGAAAAAGGAAATAGTAAATCCATCTGGACTAGGAGCCTTATCTCCAAACATACTATGCAATGTGCAAACACTTCCTCTTCAGAAAATGGCGTCTCCAATGACATACAATCTGCCTCCGAAATGACATTGAAAATTACCCCATCTAGACCTAGCCTCCACCCTTCTCCTACATTCCGAAACAAATGCTTATAGTAACCCACAATACTATCCTTGACACCCTCGAAAGTCGAAAATTCCACCCCATTCACTCGAATTCGCCCTATTTGATTAACCCGACGATGAGCATTTGCCATACGGTGGAAAAACTTCGTGTTTTGATCCCCATCCTTTAGCCACAAGCATCTAGACTGCTGACGAAAACTGATCTCCATGCGTGCAAGATGGCCAAACTCCTTACGAACCTCCTCCCAGATAGACATATCTGCCGCAGACAACACCCCAGCACCTTTTCTCTCATCTAACACCTTCAATGCATAAACAACTTTCGCCTTTTGATCCTCCAAGGGACCAAAAACCTCCCAATTCCATTTTTTTAAGTCTAATTTGAGAAACTTCAATTTCTGCGCCAACCGAGAACTAGGCAATCCTACCACACGATAACTTCCCCACCACCCTTGAATCAACTCCACAAAGCCTTCAGGCCGTAACCACATGTTTTCAAAACGAAAAAGTGTTGGTCCACGTCTGACCCCCACTATCCAGCAAGATAGGCCAATGGTCCGAAGTGGGCCGTTGTAAACGCCATTGGGTTGCCTGTATGAAATGCTCCTCCCAATCCCCTGTGACTAGAAATCGATCAATTCGAGACATCACTCCACCCCCGGACCAAGTGAAACTACCACCCTGAAGCGGAAAATCGACCAACTCCATCTCATCAATGAACAAAGAGAAACGTCTCATTGAACCCAATCCCGAAATTGCCCCAAACTTTTCTGCCATATAGTGAACCACATTGAAATCCCCTCCCACACACCAGGGAACCCCTCAGATATAAGCAATGCTCTGTTACTCCTCCAAAAAAGAAGACCTCTCCTCTCCACGAACTGGACCATAAACCCCGGTAAAGGCCCAACGAAAGTCCCGAAATAGGCAAGATAACGAGAAACCCCCCACTTCGACATCCTCCCTCACCACCACCCTTCGGTCCCAGCAAATAAGAACACCCCCAGCCACTCCCAAGGCAGGAAGAAAATCCCAATCCACAAAACGGCCTCCCCACAGATCCCGCACAGTTTCCCCCTCAATACAATCCATCTTTGTTTCCCGCAAACACACCACATCTGCCTTAGCGCTGTTTAACACTGATTTTACCAACACTCTCTTCCCCCTATCATTCAGTCATCGCACGTTCCAAGACAATATTTTTAACCGCATGATAACAATAATGGATCACTACGCCCCTTCCTTGGACCCCGTACATCTCCCTCCTTAATTCTATCATAATTAATAGAACATTCCAGCCTTCGTAATTCCTGAGCACTCTTCACATTAGGATTAGCAGACATCACCCCTGACTGGTAAGGAACATTCCCCCTCCATGACTCCTCAATGGCCGAAAATAATTGCAACGCCTCAGCTTCATGGCCCTCAAAGGAAACACCTAATAATTAACTAACCTCATTAATACGAGACAATACCCAAGCAGAGACCTCCTCTGGCTGCGGCATGCCATCCCTCGAACAGAAATTTTCCTTGGGAAAATCATCCTCTGGATCATCATCATCGCTCGCAACAGTGTCCAACACCACCTCATCCTCAACAACTTCAGGTCGGACCACCATAGCCAAACCATCCACCAAATCAGCCCAACCACCCTGCTCGCTGACCCCTTGTTGCAATCGCACGGCAGAATCGCCCACTGCGGCAGTCCCTGTAGCAGAAGAAACCGATCCCACCACCGCCTCCTCTGGAACGAGATGGTGACCAGAACTGACACTCGAGCCAGATGACTGCCGAGGACCAGTTGGCGATTTCTCAACAAGACACATCGACCCGCATACCACCGGCGACGACCCATCAATCGAATTAGGGCCAAACCCATCCCGTAGCGTCGAGAAGACCCGACTAACAGCTGGGTTTGCTTGGACTGCCTCAGTTTGGGCCCCTCCAACCCTACTTGGGCTCAAAGCTTCATCTGGAAAAGGGCCACTTGATTTAAAAATTTGTGTAGTAGCCCCTCCATTCCAACTTGGGCTCAGAACTGTAAAGAAAGGCCCATGTTTATCAAGTTGTTTTTTAGTAGCCCACTGCTGTTTGGGCCCACCTCCATTCCGAAATCATGTTGTAAATTGAAAGAGTTCATTGTGGACATGTTCCTAATCTGATTTTTTTCCTGGGGTCTTAATTCATTTGTAATTAACTATCTTACCTTATTTAAATTCAGTGCTGCCATTTAGATTCAGTTCAAATTATCAACTCAGTGAAGCAGCACTGCTCTTTTAATTTTTATAGGTCATGTCACCGAAATTGTTGTTGTGCTGAATGTTATTGAATTTCAATTCCTATTTTATGTCATTTGTTTGTTCTAACCAGATGATTATGTGAGTTGCAACATATGTTCATTGTACAAGAATTTTCAGATCAGTAATCACATGAAGAAAATAAAAAAATAAATCATTCTTTTGTCACAACCTTAAAAACAAGAATTGTGACCCGTAGGTTTCCCAAAACCCTGTTTATACATTTGGGCTTGTTGATTAAGCATAGATAATGGACTTCATGTTACCCTGCAGAACTTATATTTATGTTGTGAGATTGATATCTGATTCATGTTTTTTCTTAACTTTTTTTTTTTGTATTTAAATTTTATTTATTTATTTGTGCTTTGATGTTAATGTTGCTTACCCCTGCGTAACTTATTTCTTAATGGTAATTTTACTTTGACATTGTTTTGGCCTCATAAATAATGATATTTATGAAACTTATTTATATTATCCAGACTTTTCTTTTAGGTTCACATGGAACACATTAAGATTTTGATTGTTTTGGACTTTCCAACTTTCCATCAACTGTTCCATGCAGCACAATGAACTAGAAATCTCTGTTGCTTATTTGCATAGCTCCCAAATTCACTCTTAGGTATTCTTCTAATTATCTACTCGTATAATCAACCCTGAATTCCAAATATGTTCCAAAGTTATCTCTTTGTTCAATTTTTAAAGTTCCTTCCAAGTTTATGATTCCGATGAGCATTTACAAGACTGCCTTTTAGAGTAAAGGGTTTAGGAAATCCCAAGTTGAGAGTACAAAGTGATCAACTCGACTTTGCTAGCACTTTTACATATGATATTTGATCCTGTAGCAACCTAAACTGTAGAGCTACCTGGAATTGAAATAATAATTAGGGGTTATTTAGAATGATCTAAATAAGTATATTTTTCAACTTTTTATGAAAAAATGTGCAAAGTGATGAGATTATGTGACCCAAATAAGATAAAAAGATATAAAGATATGCTAAAGTATAGAACTTATGGACCAAGATCATGCTTTTTTATTATCGTAGTTCTGAATTAGAGATTTATTGCAACTGCTGGAGTCACTTCCTGGTTGGTGTTTACCACACTCGCATCCAACCCATTTGAAAATGAGGCCAATCAAGATAGATTCCTGACATGCTGAAAGTTTGAACTGTTGTAGAGCTCTCTCTCAGACACACACAAAACACACACAAGCACATTTTTGTTTTTTTGCAACTGCTTCTGTCTTTTTCTTTTTTTCTTTTTTCGTTCTTGGTTTGAGCTACAAAAACTAAGCTGCTACACAGCATTTAATTCACACCCAACATGTTGCCGTTTCTTGTATTTTTTGAACTTCCATTTATTTTATGTCTCTATATATTGTGATAAACGTATAAAATTGTTGTCTTATAGGTAGATCTGGGTCAATTTGGTAAGTTCTCAGTTTATGGAAACAAATCAAATTAACAGTATACCAAAAACCCTTCGGTCATGTTTGTTTGGGTGGACATGAGCTTGGGATTGGATTAATAGTCCAACAAAATTATTAATCCAATGTTTGGTTAAGCAATTGACGTACGGACTAACAATCTATCCAAAGCATTGAATAATTGTACATCGTCTATATTATATGTTTTTGTGCTTTTATCGCTAACAAGTTTGGATTCTTATCTAAATCAAGAGCACAATATTTTTGAGTATATGACAAGGTATTGACTGGTGATATGTTGATTGATGCAGGTGAGGTAGTTTTATCATATCTTGGCCTGGATTGCGATACTATAAATTTGTTAAGGTGGCACTAATTCCCAATTCCCAATGTGACGAGTTATTTCAGAATTTCACTTGCATATAATGTATAAATAACGTTGGTTTTTTATCATATGGGATGCTTCACTATAGTTTTGACATGTATATACACAGACTACCACCTTTTTTCACCCCATCGATTTCATGATATTTTTGCTATGCTATCGCTTTTATGAAGTATACATGTCGCATTTGTGATGTGTAAGATAGGGTTGAAATGGAGTTTCATTTTTGAAACATAAATTTGAGCCATAACCATACCCCAACCCTAAGTGCAGGCAGAATTCAATGCTAGGTCTTCGTATTATGGTTATGCCAAGAGATTATACTGTTAAGTTACCTGGCATCATATAGCTATTGCAATTTGATGTTGAAATATGAAAATTGTTAAATATTTGATGTAGTAATTGTAGTGGATTTATTCACATTGTGTAATTCAAAGTTACGATTCAAGGTAATTACTATCATAACATTCAATGTGGTTACTGTCATAACAAAGATCATTCAATTTGTGCTTTAAAAAGAGAGCGAAAGTAGATGATGACAAATGAGACCCTTTTTATTTCCAGGGCCATTGTAGCAGACATGAAAAGTACCTCTTTGTACACAAGGTTTGATGAAGGGTTTGGATTCATCTTTGAAATGAACTACACCACCAACCACTGCTTGCTAATGCATTCAATGTTTTTTTAACAGAATTCTCTGTTTTCACTCTCTTTTAAGGAATGTGGGAGGAGAATTGTATTGGAAAGCAGCCTAAGTTGAAACACCGAAAAGCTTGTTCCAAGAACCCTGAATTACTTCATAAGATGCTAAAAAAAAAGCTAAAGAATATGATGGAGAAGTTACACTTTTTTTTGAAAAGTACAGTAGGACACAAAGTTATGATTGCTCAGTAAGATTGCCATACATAGTCTTTTGTTTTCATAGACAATTGTTTGTTGGTACTATGATCTTTTTTAGATCAATAATGTTTATATTATCGCTCATATTTTGTTTAAATTTGAGTTCCCACGTAAAATACCACAACCACATTTAAGTCCAATTTTTAGCACTTTGTTTTTATTTCTTTTCAACTCTCCCCCTCCCCCTCACAAAGGTTTAGCACACTGATCGCTTTATTACCCCTCTTCAACCCCCAAAAAAAATTAAAAATAAAAATTGATATGAATTACATGTTGGGCCTGGGTTCCCTCTAGTCTCAGATTAGACTGGAGGATACTGTTGGGCTGTGAGAGCCCACTATGAGTCCCATTTCGATAATCCGAACCATTGAATGTGTAGAACTCATTGAGTACTATATGCCTGTAAAAAATCACATTGATCGGATATCAATAGTTACATGATCAAATCAATTTTGTCAATAGTTACATGATCAAATCAATTTTGTATAAAAAAAATTAGACGGCAAAAAAATATACGGTTGACAGAAATTTAATCCATTGAAATAGCTATCGACATTCGATCAACGTGATTTTTTACAGGCATATCTTACTCGATGAGTTCTACACATTGAACGGTTCAAATTATTGAAACGAGATCCGTGATGGACCTCCACAGACCCAATAGTACCTTCCAGTCCCATATCAAACTGGAGGGAAGCCATTCCCTTACATGTTTTACCTTAGCGGCTCCGCTACGTAGCTCAAATCTTCATTGGCTCGAGAGAGGCCCGAATTTCTTTATTCACTCAGCTTTCTGCTGCTGTGCTCAAATTACACCCACACATTTCATTTTTTCTCTCACTCTCTTATTACTGTTTTTTTCTTTCATCTTATTCAACTTCTTCCTTTGTTCTCTGACTCTCTCAACATATTGAACTGCTTAGCAAGATCATATTTCCTTCCTTCAAATTTCCAACACACCTAATCGTTCAAAAAAAAAAAATTCATAGAAACAACTGATCCAATAACTTCCATGACAACAAATATACAGGTTTTAGAAACAAATACTCCATAAAAACTGAAACCCACCAAGTGCATGGTGGACCGATTCATCGCTCCAACATAGCTTGCATCGGATTGGGATATCAGCTTGATGAGCTTGAACTGCTCCGAGCCGTGGTACCCGCTGACCGTGGTGACAACCAATTCCATGCCTCGAATGAGAAAATTTACGAACTCTATAAGATGAATATTACAACATTTTTTTTTTTGTATAAATCTGAATATAACAATAGACTCACAAATTGTACATACATACATACATACATATAGACTCAAATAAAATCAAATATATGTAAAATAAGTTGAAAATTCTCCAAAATTAAGCATAAAAAATCCCAAACCAAACCCTATCCACAAATCCCATTTCCCATTTCCCATTTCATTCTAGAAATCTCATCATTGCACAAAATCAGCAAACACATGGAGAGAGAGAGAGAGAGAGTAATAAGCCATTGAAGTCCATATCTGAAGAGACCCATTGAAGTCCAGATCTATGGATATACACAGATCTGTCATGAATCTGTCCCCCCTCTCCCCTTTTTTCCTTCTTCTCCTTCTCTCCTTTGCTCTTTTTCTTTTTCTTCTTTTGTCATCTGTTTCAGAGAAAAACAAAGGGGGAAGAGAAAAAAAAGGAAAAAAAAAAACTGCCCAAAACGACGTCATTTTGGACAGTCGAGCCATTCGGGCCGATGGCATTTCGAGTTAGAAACATTTCTTCTTACCTTAGTTAGCAACTAATTAATTCTCCATATTGTTTTTAGCTATCTCAATTTACTTAGGGATTCTGAAAGATGAGAGGAGATAAAGAAATAAATATTTTTAGAAAGTTTAAGAACTGTAGTGTTTCCTTATATTTGTTGAGTGATTTCTATACTCACTAAGAGTAGCCACATTGGCCTCACCAAATATAGTTTTTGGTTAAATATAGCTAGCAAATTATAAAAATTTTACTCTATCAGTTTCAATAAATTATTTATAAACTAATTTTTAGTTAACTTTATATTTTATTTGTTATTTAATAGTTTATCATTTTTTAATAGATTTGACCTCACTTTTTTAAATTTCTTAAGTACTATTCATTGAAAAGATATTTAAAATTATTTAAATTCAAAAAATGAATAAAAATAACTATTTAAATTAAATAGAATTTTAAAATAGAGAGTCTTATAGAGCGTATATATCTATATAATATGGGAGAAAGGTTTTTGAAAATGTCCAAAATGTATAAGAGATACATTTAGTTTTAATGGTCTAAATCTTTTTAAACAAAAAATTAACGGATTAGATTACTTTTTTTCCCGCCTATACACTTTCGACTTTCTCTCTCTCTCCTCAAAACTTTTTTCCAATTTGTTTGAAAAACATACCATTCGCCCCAAGCCCCCACTCACGCTCCTCTTTCTCTCTCAAAATAGAACCTACTCACGCTTCTGTCTCTTCTCTCTTCTCACTCATCTCTCTTTTATCCTATCGCTGATGTCGACCACCGATTTCCCTCCCCAACCCTCTTCCTCCAAAGGCGACCTTTCCTAGTCGTCCTCTCTCCCCTTGGAGTGTAGACCATTCAAGTTGGATTCGAGAAACGACTTTTGGATTCAAGAAACGATTTTTGGATTCATTACCTCTCGCCATCGCCGTTACAACCTAGCCATCCAAATCTGGAATGATGGAGTAACTGAGGAAAAAAAAGAATTTTCTTTATGTTCCGGGGCTCCTCTGTAATCAACTAATACAACGACAACATTGGCTTTGGATGTTAGTGAATTGAGATGGTTATATAGCTAAGAGAGAATGCGGTTTCGACGCAGAAGCCACCACCATGGAAGTAGACAAGAAAAGGAAGTTTGTAATGTGGGTTGGGATTTTTTGGGATGTAGAGCCTTATAGATAAGCCAGTCTCTGGATCGATTACAATGTCTTTGGATTAGACACCAGTGTTGGAATTGGTTGAGGGAGGGACTGTTTGGTGCCTATTAATCTTTCTACTCTACCATCTCTGTATACTTGAATGAAGTGTGGAAATTCATAAACTATTTCTTCATCTTTGGTTGAAGACATGGTGAAGAAACATAGTAAGGAATGCAAAAAATAATCAATCTTTATGTATTTTATATAATCAAATTGTGTTGATATATTATTATTTTTTTCAATAGGAATGCAAAAAATAATATGTGGAAGACAGAGCCTACAAAGGATTGAGTGGCCACTTCTTTCCACCGACAAATCGCTTGGGCTGCTAATGGTATTTATTATTTATTTTTAGTATCAAAATGCATCTCAGATTGTTTATTTTTAATTTTTTAATCTTTATATAAATTCTATAATTATTTAAGAAAAAAACAAAGAAAAACTTATGGGACATCTCGTCTGCTTTTGACTGTACATATTTTATGAGTGTTTTGTTTACTTTTAAATATTCCAAATAGTATTTATTTATTTATTTATGAGCGAAGTTGTGTAGAGTTTTCTGTTGTCCATAAAAAAGTTCGATAATCTTTGCAGTTACTGAATTGAGCGATTAATAGGAAAAGATAGTGGCAGATTATGGGTTGTCATGAAATCATGCTATTTTCTTTTTTAAACCATCATTTGGTTGATAATTGTTTAACTAAAGAAATTAGGGGTATCTAAACAAGTCTTTTGGAGTAGCAAATGTGATGGCTTTATATATGTTTATGATGAAATCAAAATACCTATAATTATAATGGGTTTTGATTTTGGTTTTAATTTCATCTTTATAAAATTGGAGTTAGTGGGGAAAGAGAAGGGTCCAAACTTGGACAATTGTTGTGCTCTGATTTCTTAGCTTGCTTGGTTTCATTTTTTCATATACATTTTTCAGAAAATTCTACTTTTTTATTTTTCGTGTTTTTTTGTTTTTACTGAATTTTTTTTAATATTTTAAGCAATTTTTTTACTTTTTAAACACACCTAACATAAATACACCTAAAAAGTAAAAAAAATTGTAAAAAAAATCTTTTAAAAATTCACTAAATACATAAAAATACAAAAAAAATATACCAAAAGGCGGAAGCAGCACATAAAGAATGAAGGAGATGGATTACGAAATCAAAAGGATAAAAACTTGAATACGAAAACTAAAACTGGAATGCACATTTAATTAAAAACATACATTTAATTAAAAACAATTTAAAATTAAAAACATTACTAACTTACAATTACAATAGCAGCAACTGCAAGGATCTTAAATAGGTTACAGCACAAGGTGTTGGTTTTCACTCAGAGCTCTTGGATTTTTTCAGAATATTGGTTTCTAAGAATTTCCAAGTCTGCCGAATGAGTTCAACTTGATTACATTATATACAAAAACAAAGAAAAGAAAAGCAACAGTTG